CAAAGTTCAGCCGTTGGATTCTGTTCTGAGCGCGCTCAGTGCTGTTCTTCTTCCATCAGGAGCTGGCGGAGCGCTACGCCCCCCTGCTGCGCCTGCCCGTGTCGGAGGTAGGGGGCGCTCTGGAGTCGATCCGAGCTCAGGCGGTGAAGCGAGGCAGAGGAAACCAAACGTTCAGGGAGACGAGCGTGGCGACGCTGGAGCTGCTGCTGCCGCGAGACGCCAAGAAGGTAACGAAGGCGGCGAGGACAGAGGAAGCTACCTGACGGTGTACCTCACGCCACACACTCATCACATGACACACACCGACCCACAATGCTTTGCTCTCCTGTGACGGAGGAGAATGACCTCAGTGTTTGCTTCCAGGATCCAAAGGTCAGGACGTACCTGGAGACGAGGCTGGACGTGTCGGCGCAGCAGGTGGTGGACAGGTACTCGATTACATCACAGGCCGAGTGTGTAGTAGTTCAAATGTTACTGAACAAACCTCCCAATGAAAACCGTGTTTTTCTAAACTAACAAACTTAAAAGGCCAACAGAGCTTCCAAACATTTCATTGGTTGTAAAGAACTGAAAGTGATCATTTGTTGAATTTGCACCATTAGAAGATCAAATTTACTGAAATCAAAACTATTTCAATCAAAAACATTAACAGGTTCCATAAAAACACAGGACCCCTCATTTGATAGCATCCATGGACCTGGAGAGTTTTGTGAGTGTGATCTCTGAGCAGCACGACGATCGCGCTTATGTTTACGTGAAAGGTTTTCATTATGTGTCCAAGGCATTCAACTGTTTCACACTCTTCAGCAGAGAGATCCTTTTTCTTTCCCGTGTTGCTTGTAAATGGTGGTGTGCTTAATAATGTGGCGCATGCTTCTTTAGTAGAAAACGAATGATCACATGTGTCTGAGGCTGATGTCAGTGATCCAAACAGCTCTGAGACTCGATGCCATCCATGAGTTTGATTGAAAAACAACATATTTAATCTTTATGACACTTAAATACAATTTTATTAATAATTTGGAACGTGGTGTAAAAGTAATGCAGTACTTAATTACTCCTGGGAAAAACTAACTAGTTACACTACTCGTTGCATTACTTTCATGTTACTCTGTAAAACAGCTGCAGCTCACTGTCTCATAATCACTGTTTAAACATATACAGGG